TGAATGAATGAATGAATGAATGAATGAATGAATGAATGAACGAATGAATTGCACATTGTTTTCTTGCACTCTTGAGTTTGCACTCTAGCAACCAGGCTCAATATAATGTTAAACACATCTTTACTTTTAGTACATGAGTTTTTGTTTTTTGTTTTAAATCAAATAACATCGGCTCACAGGACTAGTATTTATGGATACTGCAGATGTGGAGGAAGAATGCAGCGCAGTCTTAAGAGATCTCTTTGGGGAAAATATTCCTGTCCTTTCCAAATGAATCCAAACCTATCAAAGGAAATTCTTTCCCGAGGACTGAAGCAGAGGAAGTAGTTACATAACCCTCTAGGGCCTCTGGTATCACACACCCTGGCTCCTAGTATTACTTCTTTTAAAATCTGAATTTTAAATACAAGATAAAGTCAAACATTCGATGGTTCACAAATATATCTGATCTCTGCTCCGGTTGTCTGGCCATGGCCTAAGGGTGGAAATAGATAGCCAGATCCCTGAACTATTTCTTCGTCTTTTTTTATCTATAAAGGGGAAGGAAATAGCAACTAACATAGAAATAGGCTTCTCTTTACTTCATTGTTCTCTGTTGCTATTGTCGTGTCCGTCGAGAAAGGAAGCTCGGAGTCAGTGACTTGGTTTCAGCTCTTTATTGGCTCCTGATACAGCTTAAGCTTGAAGGGGAAAACTGCGGCTTTTTATTCCCGAGCCGCGGCGGCCGCGGCCAATGACACCGCTTCGAATCTCCCGCGATTAGTTTCCACCAATCGCGGGGGATTCGCAACGGACCAATCAGTGCGGCTTGCTCGACCAATCCGGTCGCCGTGCGCTTTAACCAATCGCGACGCGGGGCTACGAGTATGTAAATTGACTTGTACAGAACAGCTATTGAACGGATTTTCTGTAGGCCCATAATAATTAGTATTATTTAGGCTAAAGTGTGGAAAAGCAAAGACGTTGTGCTTTAGGATTTGCTTTAATAACCTGGTTTTTTCAATATCAGGAGTGGGGAATGATGGCCCCTTTATGACTTGTGGACTTCAACTCCCAGAATTTCTGAGCCATGCCCACCCCTGTTCTATATGGTTCTTTATGTGTGAATGGTTGCATTTTATAAGATAGTTAAATCGTGCTTTAGATGCATTTAATTAGCCTGTTCAAGTACATACCTTTGTAGAATTGGTCTCTCTCTCTCTCTCCCTCCCTCTCCTTACAATGTTTATAAAGGACATTGGGTTTGAGTGACAGATTTCTTGTTAATTTGCAAGGAATCCGTGTATTTATGGCTTCCTCTTGGCTAAAACAGTAAAAATGTTATCTTCATCAAATATTTTGAATAAGCAAAAAAAGAAGGGGAAGGGGAATGGTTGCAGAGAAACCAGGTTTGGTTTTGGGGTGAAATGAATTACGAATTTGATGCTGGAATACTTGGTAAGTCTTTCCTGTTGAGTGTTTCCCTACACTCATAAACACCTTGTTCCTTAATGCTTAGCACATGCCTGCAGAGCTGCTATACAGTGTTAAATTGGTGCACCTGAAAATAGTAGTATGAAATTTAGCAGATTCTACTAAGTTTGGTGTCCATGTACCTCTCACGTAGAAGAGAGCAAGGTGCTGAGTTGAATTTGCAATATTCTGAAATAGAATGATTGAAAATTATGTGTATGAGAGAAATATTACACACACAAATATATATAGCTAGCATAAAATGTAACAGAATGAATGAAACCTAATACTGTAGCCCTCCTGATGTGTAAGTCCTAAGCCAAGAATAGCCAACACCTTGTGTTGTGGGAACATCTGACTGTCCTATCTCAGAAAGCTAAAGGTCAGATAATACCAGAGTTATACCTGGATAGATCACTAATAAGAAACCTTAGGATAGCCAATAATGCAATGACAAACCACTTTTGTATTGAGGTGAAGAAAACTAATAAGGCCTTCATTAAATTACCTCACGTCAAGTCTGCTCAAAACCCCTGATGTTTGGGAAATTAAAAAGGCTGTTGGAAAAGAAAACCAAAGACTTGGTGTCTGAATATTATCAGTGATGATACAACCAGACCCTTATAAGAGTTCAGAAGAATCAGATACTGATAGAAGAAATGATGTCCATCAGGTCCAGAGGAGAATGACTGAATGACAGAACAAAATTGTGCTGTAACCAACATTTCTGAAATTGCCTTATGTGTCATAATTGCACTGTCAGAAAATCACATCATTGGATTAAAGTAGCTTTCAAAACAGTTGAGTTGTTTCTGAGGTTTTCTATCCTAGTCTTAAAAAAGATTAAATATGGGCAAGGCCAAATAAACAGTAAAAATTGACTGTTGGCCACAACTATTCAATCGGCTAAAAACTTGATGGCAGAAAAAATTTTGAACTATCATTAAAGAGAAGAAAAGCCTTGAATGGGATGGTAACATTCTGCTGAGGAATTAAAAAAACAAACCTACCCTTTGGTTTGCATAGCTGCTCATTGGATTAGTCCTATCACCAAATTATTTCTGGGACCTGAAATTTTTTGATTCAATTCTTTGGCCTCAGGTGTCTAGTTTGTCCTCAGACATGCAAATACCATGAAGAAAAGGCAGTAAAGGAGCAAGAATGAAGCAATTATACAAGAGTTGGTCTACTAGTTACTCAGAAAAATGAATAAGCAGTCAGAAAGCCGTCTGAGGATCCAGGAATATCCTTAGGGGTTGAAATCCCTCTAGGGTCGAGTTTGATGACAAAGTTAGGCTTAAGGATGAACAACTATACCTTCAGTAATCAACTTCATAGCATGCCACACATCTTCTCCAAGGCTAATCAGAAGATCTAATCTTCAAATTAAGCTCAGCTGCTCATGACTTCATAGGCAAGTCCATATGATAAAGAATATGAAAGCTATTTGTCAATTCCTTCTGTCAATGCATATATTCTTAGATTGAAAGTAAGTTTACAATTCCATTTTAGCTTGGAAATGTGAAGCTGTAGAAAGAGCTTTTAAATCACTTCAAGTTGTAAATATTTTTTAGTTTTCCTGCCAACCTCAATCTGTTCTCTGGGATCGCTACCCAAGTAATTGAGCAATGTTGTTGGCACACTTGATAAGAAAATCAAAAGATTTTTTACATGTTCCCTTTCTCCTGGCCCCTTGTACCAAGCAGTATTTTGAACGAGGGAAAGCACAGTTGAAGCAAATAAGCTGGATGTAGATGGAATAATTCTTAGATGTTGTGCTGCTGCATAACTCACTTTTTACTGTTAACCCGAATAGTAAACAAATTCTTGATTGAATGTAACACAATGCCTTAGTTGTTCCAAGGATCAGAGTTGGTTAGTGTAATTTACATGCTATAAAAAGTGGGCATTACCTTAATTAGATGCAATATTTCCATTTGCAAGTAGATTATTGTGTATCAAAGAGACATCATTTACTAAGTAATACTCATGAATGGTTGGAAGTTTTTTTTAATAAGACATTACTGGTGAAAATACAGAGAAACATCTGTTGAGCTTTGCTTTTAAAAGAAAGCAATTTGTCTCAAGCTTATTTCCCTGGAAGATTTCTTGCTCGTAGCGCCTTTTTTTAAAATACAGTTCCAAGGCAGAGATACCACTTGCTTTCTTCTTGGTGCTAGTCAGATGCTTTTTTTTCTCCCATTTTGGATACTTTTTATAGTCTGTTTTAATTGTTTTGAATAACTACTCTGTTCCGGTGAGTTTTGTGTACTTTGTACATTATGTACTTTTCCTTTGTAATTTTTGTTTTGTTTTAATACCCTTTGTTCTGATTTTCAGTATGTTCAGAGAATGTCCTGTTATTGGGCAGATTAAAGTATATATAACAAATACAGGTAGTCCTCAATTTGCAACCAAAAATTCCATTCCTAAGCAAGATAGTTGTTAAGTGAGTTTTGTCCCATTTTATGACATTTCTTGCCACAGATAAGTGAAACAATGCAGTTGTTAAGTTGCTAACACAGTTGTTTAGTGAATGTGATTTACTTTGCTTGTCCAAAGTTCTCAAGTCATTTTTAGCTCCTTTGTAACTTCAAACAGTCACTAAATAAATGGTTCTAAATCAAGAACTATCTGTAAAATGAGACGGCTGTGCCTGAGAAGCTGCCACACCTCGCTGCAAAAGCACCATGTGCATAAATTGCTCCTCACTGGATTGTAGCTATTTAACATGAGGAACAATGCAAAGCTTGGCTTAATTTTACTTGGTCACAGAGTAGTAGAATTAAGTCATTCTAAAAAGCTGGGAAAGCCGAACTGTAATCAAAAGTTAAAGGTGGCTCAGTGGCTAAGATGCTGGGGTTGTCAATCAGAAAGGTCGGCAGTTCGGCGGTTCGAATCCCTAGTGCCGCGTAATGGAGTAAGCTCCCGTTACTTGTCCCAGCTTCTGCCAGCCTAGCAGTTCAAAAGCACATAAAAATGCAAGTAGAAAAATAGGGACCACTTTGATGGGAAGGGAACAGCGTTCCATGCACCTTTGGTGTTTAGTCATGCCAGCCACATGACCATGGAGACGTCTTCGGTCAGCTTTGTAACAGAGATGAGCACCACCCCCTAGAGCTGGAAACGACTACCATATGTGCGAGGGGAACCTTTACCTTTAATCAAAAGTTTAAGTAATTAGACTTGGGCAATAAGTTACATTTCAGATCATTATGCTATATAGGAGCCCTGGCGGCCCAATGGTTGGCATGAAATATTGCAGGCTAACTCTGCCCACAGCCAGGAGTTTGATCCTGACCGGCTCAAGGTTGACTCAGTCTTTCATCCTTCTGAGGTCGGTAAAATGAAGACCCAGATTGTTGGGGGAAATAGGCTGACAATGCAAATCTCTCAGAGAGTGCTTAAAGCACTTTGGAGCGGTATCTAAGTCTTAAGTGCGAGAGCTATTACTCTATGTGCACATTTTCCACATGTAATGTTTTTAAGATTTTTGTCGCAGTTACCAACTTGGATTTTTTTTTTCTTTTTTCTTTTTTCTTTTTCAGAGATTGAAGCGAAAGAAGCATGCGATTGGCTGCAAGCAGCAGGATTTCCCCAGTACGTTCAGCTTTATGAGGGTAAGTAACAATGCAACTCACAGTTCTAGGATGATATTCTTAATAATGGTATGATTGTGTCATTCCTACTTTACATAGAATGGGCCATGGACACCCCTGGGTTAGAAGGTCATGGTATCAATGTTAACTTCCATCTATGATCTCGGTGTATTCGACAAAATTAACATCCTGTTGTGTTAGATGACAGACTTCACTACTGCTGATAAGGTAATCAGATTAAAGATTTTGGAGTTATTTTGGAACAATACAGTGCTATTTTAATTCATGTTGTTCTTTTGCCCTTTTTACAACCCCACAGGACAACAACAAGGACTTTTTAACAACCCCACAGCCCACCAAGATTATGCTGCCAAAAGTCAGCAGCAATCACACTAGATAAATTAGAGCATGACATCAATTCTACAGGATGTTGAGGTTGTCTGATACAGAATCTTTCATGGCTGATTTTGTGGTATCTCTTATTCCATATAAAACATTGAATAATAGGGAAGAGACTTAGAGATCCTCTAGTCCAACCCGCCCCGCCCCGTGTGCTCAAGCAGGAGACCCTGTATCATCCCAGACAAATGGCTGTCCAGATTATGGAGGTGTCTTCTTAATGTTACCTGAATTTTCTGGATTTAAAAATGCTTTGGCAACTTTAAGACTTTTGGACTTCAACTCCTGGCTGAGGAATTCTAGAGCCAGGGGTATGAAACTGGCGGCCCAAGGGCCCGGGTATCACACACAGGCCACGCCCACCCCAGTTCCATGAAGAGGAAAAACATCGCAATACGTCACTTGGTACCCTCTCTGTAATCCTGGTCTATGAGAAATATAGGACATCTGGGAAATAAGAGATAAAATAGAATTACATACGTTCTTTAGCAACACTTCTTATTTCTTACTTACTTACATACTAATAGAGTTAGTAAATTTAAATGTATAAATTTATTTACATTTCTGTAGTCACCCATCTCACACGAGTGACTCCGAGAGGCGCACAAAGTTAAAAACACAAAGACAATATTGCACAACAAAATAACAACAAAAACAGTTTTTAAAACATTTTCTTAAACATAATCTGTGGGAGAATTCAGCCAGTTCCCCAAGCAATCTAATCACCTTACAAAGTCCAGCTTTTTATTAGATCTGAAGGGAAATTGTACTGCTAATTCTTTTCTCAGTTTAAGCTCTGTAATCTCCTGCTCCGGGTCCCCAGAAATCTCCCTTTGCCTTTTAAAAGAATAAAACTTTTTCTCTGTCTGATGGGAAGGGATTGAAGGAAACTCCTAAGTATACATGGTAAATTTCTTGCCTGAGAAAAAGTATATATTCAAATGCATACAATATCTGGTATTTAGAGTGGCAGACAGACTGCAGTATTGTGATGCTGGCTGGATGTTAACAGTAAAGTGTTCCTATTTTGGGGGTAAATGAAATAGAGTTCCAAATATAATACCTAGACAAATATTCCTCAACATAAGACCACAATTAAGCCCAAAATTTCTGTGATGACCCGGAGCGTAACACAAACGTAGCAAAATCCAAAACGTAAATAAATGTCCTTTAATGTCTCCAACTTGGCCCCACTGTTCAATAATTCTCAGTTGGAGATAAAATGTACTTAAAAATAGTCTTCCAAAGAAAGCAATGCAGTCCGAACTTAATGAGCAGATAGAGGTGAAATAAAAAACCAAACAAACTACAATGATGAAATTTCCACAACGGACCAGGATAAGTAATTACTAAATTCAAGGAGATAACAAGGCACAGTCTGTTGGAAGGACTCCAACCAAGATAACGTCAGCCCAAAATAAACACACACTTTGCTTCTGGCAACGCTATGTTATAATTGTCTCTCTTATATACTGGTCTCCCCAACTGCAACCAATGAGAAGGATCATGGCCACTTCCTCTCTCGTAAGCCAAGTTGTTTCCTTCTCTGTTCATCCCTGCGTGTCCTAGGGGTGGGCCTGGTTCTTTCTCTGACTGCCCAGCCAGCCTCTGCCCTTCCCCAGCCTCCTCCACAACCTCTGGAGCCACACCTCCACTCCCTGTCGGCTGTTCCTCCTCTCCCTCAGAGTCCGACTCTGCCAAGGGCATGACCATTTCTGTTGCTAGGCGAGACATTTGTTAAGAGAAGTTTTCCCCATTTTACAACCTTTCTTATCAGAGTTGTTAAATGTACCACTGCAGTTGTTAAATTAGCAACACGGTCGTTAAGTGAATCTAGCTTCCCTCTTGGCACTGCTTGTCGCAAAGTCATAAAATATGATCACATGACCTCCAAGACACTGCAATTGTCATCAATATGAACCAGTTGTCAAGGGTCTGAATTTTGATCACGTAACCATGGGGATACTGCAACGGTTGTAAGTGTGAAACATGGTCATATGTGGTTTTTTTTTTTTTTCAGTGGCATTGTAAGTTTGAACAATCACTAAATGAACTGTTGTAAGTCGAGAACTACCTATACATACCTAATCTAAATATTAAAAGAGGTGGGGCACCAAAACTAGGTTTGAGAATCTTCACTTCTTTTCCATTTGAGGTCGATCATGGTTCATGAGCGGGCAGTTTATTTTTTAAAAAAAATAATTCTGATTTCTCATTGGGAAAAAAAAAAATCTACTCTTATTCTAAGGCAAGCCTTGAATTCAGAACTAGGAATCCCAGAAGCTGTAAGACAAGGATTAGAAGCCAATGAAGACTTAAGTCCTTCTCTTTCCCAATAATTAACCTTATAAAACTGCTGATGCCCTTAACGTAAGAATGAGAAGGTCATTTATTTTATTTTTTTTACATTCAAGTGGCTATAGAGTAGTTTTTATTAAAGCTTTCTGGAGTGGGGATTTTCTGTGGGAGGAGAAGCTGGTTTAAGGGTTATTGTGCAGATACAAAGAACGGAAAAATTGGGAGGGCAGAGACTGAAGCTAAGTGTTGTGTTTCCAGTCCTATCACAATTCTATTCTATACTCATTAACTCTTTTTTTCACTGTGTTTCCCCGAAAATAAGACCCTGCCTTAGATAGATAGATAGATAGATAGATAGATAGATAGATAGATAGATAG